TGTTTTTTTCTAATTGCCATTCATATAAAGACTTTTCCTTATACAATAGTACTTTGAATCTTTTCAGAGTGTCTGTAGAGCAGAAAGCAGTGCAGCAAAATTTCTGAGGCTCAAGCTGAACATCTCTCCATACAAGCCCAAACTGGATATGTGCCCCGGGCAGCATGACAATGGAAAATAAAATATAATAAGAAATAGTTTTAATACGTAAATGCACAGTTGAAAAGGAGCCTTTGTAAAGTGCTACTTAAACTTATACTGTTGAATAGATAACTACTATTATACTGTGTTCAAATGTGAATCTGTTATTACAGTAGCAATACTGAGTTTTTAAAAGAGGTCTGTTATAGTTGGATCAGCTACTGGCTAGAAAATCACTGCAATCTAAAATAAAAATGTGAATACAAATATAAATCATGACGATCACAAACTCCTTGGTCATCTTTTGGTCTTGCCAACCAGCTGAAATGTTATCATCAATTGGGATTAAAGCATGGAAGAACTCGAACCTAGGAAGGTAAACTGCTCAGTTTCTTACATGTGTTTTCAAAATAGTAAATCTTAAAACTATTTAAAGTATAGAAGCATGTTAAAACAAAAAACAAACAAACAAAACAAACCAGCATATAAATCAACTGTGTTTTGGGAGGCTGTAATGGTGTAGTATGAACATTCATACCTTTCTGGTAGCAATGCTACTGCTCTGCTGTTGAGAGCCACAGAAGAGCTGGTGGTGAGAAAGAGCATGATTTGTTCTGTTTGAGGTTACTACGGCCAGCAGGCAGCTTGGAGGACATTCCTTTCAGCTGACCATGGGTGTACATGAGGTGGCTGAATGAATCAGTAGCCTGTGCCCCCTGCAGAGCTGCCAGTGGTGGTCTGGGGTATCTAATTTTAATCAAGCTTTTAATTAATCCATGCTGTTGGATTAGCTGGGTTAAGTTAGGTGCTTGTTCTCTCTGAATATCTGATTTGATTATATATGTCTTTAAATATAAAGCCAGTTACTAATTAGGTATGTATTAAATTTATGAAACAAGGCAGCAAGGTTGGTTGAAAATTAACTGATTTTCTCTGCCAGTTTTTACTTTAGAAAAGTCTGGAACTTTGGCTCAATGGTGTTAATGAATACACTAAATTCTCACAGCAGCTTTTTAAAGCGGTTAAACACCGGCAAAGAGAATTCTTAGAATATGAGCATGTACTGGCTGTTGAGTGGGCTCCCCTTGCACTGGCTTTGCAGACTCACAGTATGGCTGAGGCTGGCTGAGGCAGTTTTTTGTTTGATTGTGTCCTTCTAAGGATATTGGATAAGGAGGAGGAGGAGAAAGGGGACAGGTTACAGCAAGGCAATTTGCAAGGTTTGCCTTTGGTGCACAGCAGAGATTGAGCATGATGCCTCATCTTTCCCTTACTGGCCTAGAAACAAGGTACAGAGTCGGGCTTCTCAGCCTCTCTGCCATCTTCTGTGTGATGGCACAGCTCTATCAATGTGCTTAATGAAGCAATTATCCTCGTAGTCATTTCTTCCAAAGAGTTCTTTGAGAAGTGGAAATTTGTAATAATATAAAATACTACTACCGCTCACAGCTGTGAGCTATAGTAGATCAAACTATCAGTTTTCCACTGCAACTCTTTAGTCCTGCTTCCAACATCTACCTATAAATCTTCCAGGAGTGTAATAAAGGTGAACTGCATTTCACTGTAATGGGGTATGTCTTATGTGAAGATAGACATTAGGAGTTGTGTGTGTAATAGCTAGTGCTTCCAAATATTAACATCAAAAGACAGGATGTAGCACCATGGGCTGCAGAAGTCATTCAGAGGTATTGCAGTTTTCTGTCCTGAAGTATCCTGATTTTATCATAGCAGTGCTGCTCTGGTTCAGGAGTTTGTGCCATTTATTTTTATGAAACTCATTCTGAGGTGCTCGTAGCTCTTCTGCTCTGCACATCAGAAGTCATTCTCGAGGAGAGAATTCTTTTGACTCGGTTGTTTTTCCTTTATTTATTTATTTATTTATTTATTTAAATGTTAAAAATTTTCCAGCCAAATATCTGATTTTGAAAATTCTACCTCTTTCACCAGTGCTGGAGTCATAGCAATTATATGACATGTTTAGAAACCCAGAATGCAAATAGATACCTTAAGAGATTCACAGAAGAGCTTATTTCCTAATGAAGACATTTAGAAATGTAACTGCTTGTTCCCTTGTGAAAGTCATTTTCTGATACTGAACTGAATAAATAAACACATTGATATTATGTTGTGGGTTACCTTTCAACTGTTTCTAAATGATTGCAAACTGAATGTAATTAAAATACTACTGATGTGCATGAGCTTTATCTCTCATTTATTTATCTCTCATTTATGACCTAAATATAGAGTTGTCATTATTTGTGTACCAAAAAAAAAAATATGTATTTATTGTTCTGTATAGTTGTGAAAATGTTTAAAGAAAATACTCACTGGTTCTGATATTCATGGTTAGGCAAAGGCATCCTGTTATTAAATCCCAGTCCACCATTCCTGCATCCCATCTCTTGTCATTTCACAGTGTCTTTTGGTCAGATTAAGTGCTGCGGCAAGTCAGTACAATTCCTGTGGAGATCTGCAGATTATTATTCCCAAGTAAAGTTTGGCTTTCTGCCTAGCTCTGTCTCACCTCCCCTTAAGTCTATGTGGCACAAAGAGGCTGGCTGAGGAGGAGAGCAAAGAAAGCAGAGAAGCTAAAAGACGAGCTGACTTGATAACTGTCTTCAGTGTGCTTTATGTTGCTGCTCTTGTCAGCTTGCTCTTATGAAAGGATACTGTGTATTAGGAGGTTGCTCCCATCACCTGTTTTTTTTAACTCAGAAGGTAAAAAAATAAAAACAGACAACTTCCTCTTAGTATCTAACCTAAACTATTCCCCTTTGTCCTGTCATTATCCACCCTTGTAAACAGCTGTACCCCCTCCTGTTTATATGTTCCCTTCAAATATTGGAAGGCCACAATGAGGTCTCCTCAGAGCCTTCTCTTTTCCAAGCTAAACAAGCCCAGTTCCCTCAACCTTTCTTCATAGGAGAGGTGCTCCAGCCCTCTGATCATCTTAGTGGCCCTCCTCTGGACTTGTTTCAAGAGCTCCGTGTCTTTCCTGTGCTGGGGGCTCCAGGCCTAGACATAGTACTCCAGATGGGGCCAAATCATGTCCGCAGTCACAAAGACCTGAACATCTTACTAATCTGCCTTTCAAACCTTTCCCCTATTAAAAAACAGTCTAATGCCACCCTGCTTGAAAAGTAGCTTAGGGCTCTTGCTTGCCTTGCTACCCATCTTTTCTCTGCAAGGAAACGAGAATAAAGGCAAAATTATGTCTCACCTGAAATTCAGGGCATGTGTCTAAGTGGCAAACCTACACCTAGCCAAACTAGCTCTCTGGGGCAAGGCTTCATGATCCTGCGGTCAGCTATCCTCTATGGCATGCACGTGTGCCTCAGACTTTAGTGTGGGAGGTGGTGGGAGAGGCTGCACAGCTGCTGCAAATGACGGGAGAGGATACGATTCAGCAACAGTGATGAATGAGGCAGGTAGGAAGCTTAATGTCCTACACTCAACTGCTATGATTGTCCCTGTCTTCATCCCTAATGTGATGTATGAATTTTAAGGAGGAAGTCTGCTTTCTCTGAAGAGCTCTTTAAAAGCAAGGTCCAGAATTGTGAATTCTTGCTGGAGCTATACTTGGCAGGTCTGCTTCAGAAATCTCTCTATGACTTCTTTCAAACAGACTCCTCAAAACATTTAAAGCTTAAATCCACAACCTGATGATTCCTTCATAAAATCTGAAATTTTTTCTTTATTTCCAGGAAACACAGGCTGCCTGACATTTGTATCACATTTCAAAAATGTGAGCTCTGAATCAAGTTTCATTGGGCATATGAATCCATTTGTTGCATCTTGTACTTCCTAGAGTAACAAAGACCTTCCTACAGCAGACAAATGTATTGTCAGTATCATTTTGTAGAGCGGTTTCTGGTCCTAATCATGAAAGTCATTGCAATCATTTTTTTTTTCAGTGTTAGAGCTTTGATTGCAGCACATCCAGCTCTACATTCTTTGCCTGTAATATTTGCCTTTCAGACTGAACACACAAAATTTTGAGGCATTTATCTGTACTGTTCTGTGATTGAAGAAATTTTAGCTTGAATTTGTCATATAACCTTTTGAACAACTTACATTTAAATGCAGTATTTAAACATCCGATCTTGTGAGAGAATCTCCTGTTACATAAAACTTTTAATGATGTATGTTGAGAGCCAGAGTGTATAGATTACCCAAGTACTGGGCTGTACCTTGGAATTACATAGATCAGAGTGGCAGCTGCTTGTTCACAGAAATGCTTTGTAGCAGAAGAGGTGCACTGAGAAATCCTCTGACATCTTGCTTTTCTTGAAAACCAGGCAACACCTCTAAGTAGTAACATTTATGCTCTGGATCAGTTCTGCTCATTCTGCTTCATCTGCCCAAGCCTCCTAAATGCTTTCTGTTAATATTAATAGAATTTATATAATATATATATATAAGCCTGCATATTATTATATTTTATATATATATATATATATAATATTATATATTATAATATATATATATTATAATATATATATTATATATAATATATATTATAATATATATATATTATATAATGTAATATTATATATATAATATAATAATATGCAGGCTTGATTCTGATCTCACTGAGGCACTGGACTGGATTGGACCATTCTGTTCGCAGCTAGGCAGAATTGGCTTCTATCCTTAAGAACTCAACTACTTTCACTGTAGCACTTGAAAGATTCTCCTGTGGGCAAAATTGTTGAAGTTTATTCTGCTGTTTGCTGAAATCTGAGTACTTACATTTAAATCATGTGTCAGAATAGAAGAATTTTCCTGCTGAGGAAAAACAGAATATATCATATAGAAAATTCAGAAAACAACTGATTTTTTTTTGTTTTGTTTTGCAGAATATTACAACATTTTCACACTACATCTGAAGATTATACTGTCATTTTCACATCTGGATGTACGGCTGCACTTAAACTGGTAGCAGAAGTATTCCCATGGGTACCTGAAGGCACAAAGCAACCGAGTAGTCGATTCTGTTACCTAACTGACAGCCACACATCTGTGGTGGGTATGAGGGGCATAACTGCCTCAATGAATGTATTATCTGTTCCAGTAAAACCAAAGGATAAATTCTTATTGGAGAAAGACTGGTTACCAGCTGAAGAACGAAACTGCACAACACCTCATCTTTTCTCTTATCCAGCTCAAAGCAATTTTTCTGGTACCAAATATCCCCTTTCATGGATACGAGACATAAAGTCTGGAAAACTCTGCCCTGTCAAAATACCAGGGAAGTGGTTTGTTCTACTAGATGCTGCCTCATACGTGAGCAGCTCTCCATTAGACTTGGGAGTTCACCAAGCTGACTTTATCCCCATTTCATTCTACAAAATCTTTGGATTCCCTACTGGTTTAGGAGCTTTACTGGTAAACAACCAGATTGCCCCCCTCTTGAGGAAAACCTATTTTGGAGGTGGAACTGCAGCTGCCTACCTCGCAGGAGAAGACTTTTACTTCCCAAAGAAGTCTATAGCAGAAAGGTAAGGCTTTGTTTAACAAAACTTTGTTTATTCTGTTTGCTTTAGACAAATGTCTTAGTGTTGGAGCATGCACTCCTCTCTGGTAACTGTGTTGCTTTATGCAGTTAGATAAGCACTTCACATCCAACTCTATTTTCTTATTTTCATATCTAAAAGATGTTATCTGAAATATCCAACTTCCTTCCTTGATCTACGTTGTCACAACTGGATAAAATCAATCATCAATCCTTGCATTTTTTAAATTTTATGTGAGGTACCTCAACAGAACCCTGATTTGTTTTTGAAGGTCTGCAGCTGGAGCAGACAGGCCGCGATTGATCATACTGTGATGACCCACAATGAAAATGGAAAGTAAGGGCCATAGATTTCACTGGCAAGATGGCATGCTTTACTCTTAGTAGAAGTTTTATGTGAGTAACACATACAGTAAGGTGAATTACCAAGGACTAATATTTGTAGCACTCTTATTTTATTGTGTCCAGTTCTGGGCTCCTCAGTACAAAAAAGACAGGGATCTCTTGGAGAGAGTCCAGCGGAGAGCCACAAGGATGGTGAAGGGCCTGGAGCATCTCCCCTATGAAGAAAGGCTGAGTGATCTGGGTCTGTTTAGCCTTGAGAAGAGAAGACTGAGAGGGGACCTGATCCAGGTCTATAAATATCTGAGGTGTGGGGGGCAAGGTGGCGAGGCCAGATTGTTTTCAGCAGTGTGTGGAGACAGGACAAGGGGAAATGGCCAGAAGCTGGAACAGAGGAAGTTCCGCACCAATGTGCGCAAGAACTTCTGTACGGTGAGGGTGACGGAGCACTGGAACAGGCTGCCCAGGGAGGTGGTGGAGTCTCCTTCTCTGGAGATATTCAAGACCCGCCTGGACGCCTGCCTGTGCGACCTGGTGTAGGGATCCTGCTTTGGCAGGGGGGTTGGACTCGATGATCTCTGGAGGTCCCTTCCAACCCCTACGATTCTGTGATTCTGTGATTCTGTGATTTTAGGACCGAGGTTCTGGAGAAGCTGCAAAGCTCTCCCACTGAAGACAGAGGACACCTAAAGGAGGTGAAACATAAATAGAGAAGGAAATACAAGATGATAGATTAACTTCCCTAGTCCTTTAACATACTGAAATACTATTCCTAGTGATACTTGATCCTTCTGCCTCTCTCCCTCAAGCCAGAATCACCTTACATAAATGTAGAAAAGGGGCTTCCTTCCTGCAACATCCAATACATCTGCCCAAAGGGAAGATTTGAGATCAACATTTAGTATTGGGAGTGTCTGGAAATGAAAAAGAGAAACAATAAATACAGCCAGTCATGCCTTGCATTTGTTTATGGGTTTGTATTCACAAAGTCCAGCATCTCCCATGATGGAAATGCCTGTCCTTCAAGTATATGAGCATTATGCTTGATGTATGTGAACCTCTCCTAGTCATGTGCTATGAATGCTGCTGTGGGATTTCAGTTCTGGAGTGGTAAATGCAGTGGCTAGCTCCGTTAACCTGGCTCTCTTGAAGTACAAAGCTACATATTATTTTAGAAATGAAAATTGGTAGGTGAACAGCCAGTTAATCCTTTAACTTATTAAAAAAAAAAAAAAAAAGCAAAAAAAAAAAACCAACAACAGGGAAACATCATTGTTCTGAGTTCTGCTTCTGTGTTGTTTTTTTTAAAACCAACAAGTGCAACAGAATTACTCATTGCGCATCAGAATGAAAGGGCACAAAAATGTGGGATTTTATGGTGCTCCAATATCAATTGCAAGTCAAGGAGGAAGCCTGCTTTAATTTGACCTGTGTAGACTAATTTCTGAGGAGCTTTCTAGAGGTAATTGACACACAACTCCTGATGTTTCATAGCAGATAAAAATATCTGATAAATGTGATAGATCTCAATTCTTCTTTTATACCTTTTGGAAAGATATATGGGAATCTATGTCTTTCTTATTCAGACGTTGTGGCACTTTGCTTCGGTATGTCTTTCAAGTTGTTTCCGGATAATAAGACACACAAAGTAGATAGGAATCTTGAGAAAGCTCTATCTCTTTTTCAAGAGTTTTCAGAGGTTGTCTGCTTATAAGTCATTCAGGCATTTGAGGCTCCCAAAATTTTCAGGAGCTTTTTTTTTTGTTACTGGATCAGAAGAAAGGCCTGCTTTAACCTTCTTCTAGGACAGAGTTATAAGGAAATTTATCCAATTGAATTTCTCAGGCTGGGAGCGAAGTGTCTAATCTTGGTTTGAGGGAACCTAACATAATCAAATCTGACACCTGGACAATGACATGTGATTGATACTAGTTCCTGGTAGACACCAGTGTCACTCAGTTTGACTCGTATATTGATATTTACTTCTGTTTTCATCTACTCCTTTGCTTTTTATTTGAAAACCTAATTGTTGAAAGTTTGTGTTTAGAGCATTATTGATGCTGTCCATAATCCCTTGTGAACTTTGGACACTTAAAGACCTGCCTATAGAAGCTGACATTTTCAAAGATATGTCAAGGAATGAGGATAATCATTTCTTGTAAAAATACAAAATGATAGCATTGAAAATCTCAATCAGCAGTCTCCAGACTGTTCCATATGGGTTTTTCTTCTTATTCAGACATTGTGGCACTTTGCTTCTGTATGTCTTTCAAGTTGTTTCCAGATAATAAAACACACAAAGTAGATAGGAACAGATCTAGATTTCAAATGAGAAAGCCAGCTATCGTGGCCAAAGCTAATGATTACCTTATCTGTGGCCATGATTCCATTTCATCACTAGTGTCTAAAACACAAATCATTATTTCTCATATAAACAGCCAATTTGCAGAAAGGAGCTTCCAGCCTTGGAGGTGTCTAAACCCAGCTGAGAAGACATTGAGCAATCAGCTCCAACTGGACATGCTTTGGGCAGGAGCTGAGACTTAAGACCTCCTGGGATCCCTTCTGACCTCTGTGTTCCCACTGTTGATCCTGAGCACCACTGCTGAGCTCCATATTCAGTCTTTATTTAGATACATCTCTGTGATTTCTAAAGATTGGTTTCTTAAAATTGTTTTTTTTGAAAAAAAGGTTTTTTAAAGTGTTGCATTAACATTGGAAGTGAACAAATGGAAGTGTTTCATTTTGTGAGCTAATTTGTGAGTACCTCCCCTACGAAGACAGGCTGAGGGAGCTGGGCTTGTTCAGCCTGGAGAAGAGAAGGCTGTGGGATGACCTCATTGCAGCCTTCCAGAACCTAAATGGAGCCTAGGTACTCAGGAGGGGAGTCAACTCTTTCAAAGGGTAGATAACAGCAGGACAAAGGGAAATGGTTTTAAGTTGAGGGAGGGAAGATTTAGGTTGGATATCAGGGGAAGTTCTTTACTATGAGAGTGGTGAGGTGCTGGAACAGGCTGCCCAGAGAAGCTTGTGGATGCCCTGTCACCAGAGGTGTTCAAGGCCAGGTTGGATGGGACCCTGGGCAGCCTGGTCTGGTATTAGACCAGGTGGCCCTGCTTGTGGCAGGGGGGTTGGAGCTTGAAGACCCTAGAGGTCCCTTCCAATCTGGGCCATTCTGTGATTTTATTATTTATAAGAAACCTGCATTCTAACAAATATTATTGGAAAAGAGATTAAAATATGTATGTCTGGATGCCTTTAGCAGAAGGCATCCCTTGTGCATAATCAAAGTGCAGTGTAATAAGGTAATGGCTTTTTCTGAGTCAAGGTGAAACTTGAGTGGAAATGTGTAATGAGGGTGTTTATTCATTTTCCTTCCCAGAACTGTCAAAATTGTTACCTTTTGTTTTAATGGATACAGCTTTTCCTGGTGTTATTGGTAGTTTATTTTGTTGTTTTCGCTATATAAATTATTCTATTTCAGACTCTTAGTTTTCTTTAATACCCTTAAATCACTTTCATATTTTCCCATTTCATAGCAGTAGCCAGTCCTTCTATCTCAAATTCTAAAATCATGTTTATTGTATTTTCATCCCTGTATCAAACAGCTTGACAAATTATTATTATCATTCACAAATCTAGCCTCATTTCCCATGTTGTTTTTTTTCTCCGCAGCATGAGATAATAAAATAATATGATTATATATAGCAAGAATTCAGTGATAAAATATTCATCATCTGTCCTATTTTTCTTTTGTATCTGGGAGTGCTATTCAGAATCTGATCATTGTGGAATTTATGACTAAGGGAAGAGGCACTGTTGTGTTATCTGTAAATTGGATATCTGCATTGTAGTCTACCAGTGTGTGAGCTGTTGTGTGTTTTTCATTTCCAAATGCATTTTCAACATCTTTGAAAATCCACATGGCGTGACTTTCTCCCTGACCAATTTTAGTGGTTCTTGTCTCCTCTGCTTGGATGATTTGACAGTCCCAGAGCAGCAGCCACACTTTTGATAGCCACACTATGATGCAGTGTACTTAACCAGAGCAGGAGGAAAGGTGTTTTATTTTCTTGATGCGGTAACTTTTTATCTGTGAAGTGATTCAGTGGCTGTTGTATATGACTTGCCAATAAAAGGTGAGATCCATAAAGTTCTGCAGGAAACGAGCTTAATTAGGTTGCACCCATGTACCTCAGTGGAGAACTGTGGTAGAGATGACCAGGACAAACCTGTGCAGATGTGTAAGTAATGACACAGTTTGGATTCTCAATTGCATGCTGAGCTTGTCCATGCTGAAAGGAAGGGAAAGAAGGACAGGAAAACGGAGCCAGAAAGTTAGGATCCAAAGGATCTACTACTAGGTTCCCAAGATCAGCTATCATTTTGAAGGATTGAGTATAATACCCTGGGTCTGGGTAGTTGATGTAGAATATCTCTAGAATCCCTTGGTAAAAAGCTGATTTTCCTGGTTGAAGTTGTCTCTTGTGCTTTATTGCATACTTCTGTCAGCATAGAAAGCACTGATTTACTGCACTAAAACTCTTCATAATACTGAGAAGACTAATACTAAGGGCTGGACTGCTGATGCTGGCATTGTCATCTGGCTCCCACACCCTTAGGGCTCTGTCCCTAGGATTTTTTTAATGTGACAAGTGGCTGAAATGGTGGTTAGTATTTCTTGTTCAAAGCATATTGTTATGGTCCTTACATGGTTCTGAGATTTTTTGGAAATCTCCAAACAGGACCACTTAAGGATTTCCAAATCCAAAAAATTCCTGAACAACCGTCCCTTCAAACAGAAATGATAACTTTCGGATGATTTATTTGGGAAGTGATAGGGGTCTTCATCTGATTTCAAACAGGTGTTGGCACTGCGAGGCTGCCTCTGCACCTGATAGACTGCCTAGGACTTGTCAGCCTGAATGGGCAACAGGAAACCAGAATGCCAGCTCCACCTCCTCTTAAGTGCAACTGTCCCATAGAGATGAGAGGCTGAGGGTATGGGGTAGAATTGGGTAGGAGTCTCACAGATGCTGTCCCTGTTGGAAAG